CCGGTTCGATTCATGTTGATGATGGCGAAGAGGAACGTGACTTCGTCCGAGAGTTCCTCCTCCTGTTCCTCTTCCTCGTCGTCTCGCACATCGATATCGCTGTAATCCTCATCGATCGTGGCAGGGTTGCCCTCTACCGAATTGAGCAGTTCTGCTGGCGTGGCGGGGATAGTGGGTCGATGGAATGTGGTTGTGACGTGGTACACGATGAAGAGCATGAACAAGATGAACAGCGCCACGCAGAAATTCTTCCCGCTGCCATTCATGTTGATTGTGATATATCCTTCTACTTCTACTTTGTTCGCCTCGTTGCGCCTTTTTCTTGTTCGTCTAGATGCTACCCAAGTGATGGCTTTCAATTCGAGTAGAGCGAACGATGCGACCAGGTTCGAGGTGACACGAAAAGCGCCTGGAAAAAGTCCAAGAAATTGCGAGAGAAACCACGCCCGTGAGTGAGCGCCACGACTTAGCCGTTCATGATGAAGGCGCCTGCGTCCATCAACCCAGCAGGGACGAGGACTAACCTAGGTTTACAAGGGCGCAACGTGTGGTCTATTGTGATGTAAAGTGCGGAGGTGTCCCACTATCTTCTCTTCTTCTTGTGGTTCACCGTCTCCCACCCATCTGCGTCCACCTTGCTTTCCGGGGCGGAGGCCTCCGTCATCTCCACCTCCTGCGTGGGCGTGGGCGTGGGCGTCGTACCTGCGCGGCGGCTCGAGTGATTAGACGAGCATACTGCTACATGACCAAACAGCACACGCGCCAGTGACATTCCAATGAGCATGGGAAGCGAACGCATACCGGCTGCCGAGGAGGAAGAAGTTGAAGAGGAAGACCGCTCTCGACGCGGCCTCTCCGTCTTGGCGATCTTGGCCTGCTTGGCCATCCAGTCCTTCTCCAGCTTCTCAAAGGGCGCGATGTTGGCGTCCTTGTAGATCGAGTCGTACAGGTCGATGAGAATGTCGGACACCTGCGCAACACACGCACCAACCGCACACGCACACGCACGCGCACGCGCACGCGCACGCGCACACACGACAGTCAAGCCATAGCGTGGTAAGCGAGAGCGAACGATGGGAAGAGCACGCGAGCGTGGGCGCACCTCCTCGACGGATCCGTCTTCGGCCTCCACCCTCAGCTTGTCACCGAGGAATTCGTAGAGGAAGTCCTCCACCTCGTCCAGGTCCGCCACCTTCTTGCGCTTGCTGCTGAACATGTCCAAGAGGTGCATTCCACAACACCACAACGACATTGAACTTTTTGTCAACTGCGCCACAAGAGACTCGACATGCTCTACTTGATGCTTTGCAAGGATGACAATTTCCAAAATCTCTCTTGAGATTTGTTGTGATTGCAAGAAGATGATGTTCCTCGAGCAGAGTGTATAAGGATCGAAGATGTGAAGGAAGAGGACGTATCTCAAATTCTAGTGTTTGGACCTTCTGTGGGGTGTTCTTTCCGCCGAATCCGTGGGCCAGCGCGAGCTCGATGATGGTCCACAGGTCGATTGCGTAGTGCACGCCCTTCACGAAGAGGCTCCAGTTCGTCTCGCCCTCGCGCAGGGGAGGCGGGAGAGGCTCCGCTGGCGCCGCCGGCGCTGCCGTCGCGATCGGGGCCGCAGAAGTCGGGGCGGGAGCCGCGGTGGCCGCCGCTGCCGATGCCCACGACATAGGTGCCGGTCCCTTCGGTTGCGACACTCCCTCAGGCTGTTCCATCTTGCACGCTCAGAGATGAAGAAAACGAAAGTGATTAGATCGAGATTTTTCAAATTTGTTTTCTTTCCCTTTTCCATTTCGTTTTGGTGGTGCAATAAGATGAAGATGGCGGTGGGGAGCTCGATGTGGCCAAGACCGGAGAGGTGCGGCGTGCTGGTGTGCACGATTGTGATGGCCTTCATTTTTGTTGGCATCGCTGCCGGTCGATGCACTTGCATCCAAGGCCTCCCTCGCAGCAAGCGTGCGTTTCGATCCTTCCTCGGGTCTCTACCACGCGGCACCAGCAGGCACCGACGCGTCCCCCGCCACCGGCTACTTCGTGCCAGGTTCCTCCTCCCCTCCACCCATCTTCTTCACACTTTCGTTTTTGTAACTGCACGCACACATCTACTAGGCCTGAACAAGACGGGCTGGGATGTGCTGCATGTGGTGGGCTCGCCCAACTACACGCCCGACCAGCAGATGTTTGCCGCCGGCTACGTGGGTGCGAACAACGCACTCCCATGAACCCAGTTGACAGCATCACCCAGACCACTCGGGCTCTCGAACTCATCAACTGACCAACCGGTTGGTGTGCGTTGAACCGCACGCAGAGGGTTTCCTGACGGCGAAGCAGATCTCGGACTGGTACACGAACTACGATGCCAACCAGTTCCACACCAAGCCCGTCTCGGATGGCCTGCGCAACTACCTCACCCAACAGCTCTCGTGGGCTCGTGCCATGAGGTGCGACTGACTTTCTTCCCCGACGCTGCGCGCTCCCGGTCAGAACGCCTGACTCACTTATGGGCTTATTGGGCTGCATGTATGGCATACACATCGACAGCGAGAAGATGAAGCACACGTCGGACTACTGGATGCACGTGTCCCTCATCCTGCAACAGTTCGACGGACTCGTCGCGGTACGCACTGCTTGCATGTGAAAATCACCCATTGCGCATGGTGTGGAAAAGCGGTTATTAATGTTATTAATGGTCCCTCGCCTACACAGGGCTATCAAGCGAGCCTCCTCCCTCACAGGAACCTATCCTCCTTCGACTTGTACCTTCTCAATTCTGCCGGTACCTATTCCGTGCATGTGATTTACAGCTGTTATTGATTGAGGCCAAAGACTCAATTCCATTGCGTGTGCGTGTGCGTGTGCGTGTGCATGTGCGTGTGCATGTGCGTGTGCGTGTGCGTGTGCATGTGCGTGTGCGTGTGCGTGTGCGTGTGCGTGTGCGTGTGCGTGTGCGTGTGCGTGTGCGGTGGGGCAGGAGACATTGAGGATCTGGCCAACCTTTACCCTCAGCCGGGCATGCGCCGATCGTTCAAGCCCGAGGCGCCCCTTGAGTTTACCGACTGCAGCGTAAGCCGCACCAACCTACCTCCCCCAAACGGGTTGCTTACTACTCCTGCTGATCGATGCTCATCGTTGGGGGGGGATTCGCAGGCTCTTATCACGTTGCTGCCCAAGAGTGCGGACCTGTTCGCTGGGCACACCACTTGGGTACCGTTAAAAAACGCCGGCCCGATGAAACTCGGTCCAATCATTGAGAACTGACATCATTGGCTCTCTCACATACGACAGACCGACTACTACAGCATGAACCGAATCTACAAGCACTATTCGCTGCCCCTTACCGGAGCGGCCGCCGTGAACATCTCCTTTTCGTCTCGCCCTGGAATGCTGTCGTCCAAGGACGATTGGTACACCATGAGCTCAGGTAAACTGCCGAACTCTTCGACATAGCTGCACTAGCTCTTATTCGCTGCAGCTCACCGATAACGCTCACGATAGGTCTCGTGTCTCTCGAGACCACTAACGCGGTCTACAACAAGTCGCTGTACGCCAACGTGAAGCCTGAGGTATGACAACTCCTTGGTGGCGGTGGTGCTACCATGGGTGGCTGGACCACTGACGCTCACTGCGCTGTGGCTCTTGGGCTGTCGAATCCAAACGCAGGGGTCGCTTCTGTGCTGGCAGAGGGCCATGCTGGCCAACCGCTTGGCCAAGACCGGCAAGGAATGGACCGACATCTTCGCCCAGCATAACTCTGGCACCTACAACAACCAGGTCTGCATTTCCTTTTGCTCCTCTCTACCGATCAACAGCCTGTACACTAACCTGTCTTCTGGCGTTGGTGGTACCATCAGTGGATGGTGGTGAACTACAACCTGTTCCAGGCAGGCCGCCCGCTGAAGGCCGGCACGCTGCACATCCTGGAACAGATCCCCGGCTACACCATGAGCGATGACGTCACGTACGTGCATGAAGATCAGCCTTCTAGGTCTTTTGCACTCACCTTCTTGAATGCGCGATGTTGTTGTTGTGTCATGCTTTGGGCTGCGACAGGCATGTGCTGGCCAGCCAGGGCTACTGGCCGTCCTACAATGTGCCCTACTTTGAGTGGATCTACAACATCTCCGGCTGGACCGAAATGCTGGCGAAGTACGGCGACAACTACTCCTACGCCAAATGCCCTCGCGCCACCATCTTCCGCCGGTAACCGAGCCCCACCCCTCGTGGCCTTCTCCTCCACTCGTCGCGACTGACCGCTAACACAACCGCACACGACGCACACGACACATGCCAGAAACCACACACTCGTAGACTCTGTGAAGGTATTCCACATTCCACATTCCACAACTTTAGTGTGCTTCATGCAAGCAGCCCTTAAGCATAGCTGACCTTTCTCTGTGACGTCAGGCCCACGGTGAGTTGTTGCAGTACAACGATTGGCAACACGACCCGTTGGCCCTGAACGACCCCGCCAACGGCATCTCCTCCCGCTACGACCTTCGCGGTGATATCGACAAGCCGGCCTTCGCCTTTGGCGGTACGTGTATTGGCGCCTTGCAACGCAACGCAACGCAACGCAACGCTGCTGGCCAACCCGTAGCTCATCAATCGGAGCGGCTCTCGACCAGGCATCGATTCCAAGGCCACGTCGTCCGCGATGATGATCAACCCCGAGCGCAACATGCTCGCCCTTGCCATCAGTGGTCCCACGCACCAGCAGCAGACCCGTACGTCTCCATCCCACAGCCCTGACATGTGGTGTAACGCACCTGACCGTGAGTCCTGTGGTACGTCGCCAGCGTTCGAGTGGACTGCCAAGTGGGAGGACGTGCACGAGGGCCAGCCCGCCCTTTGGAACTTCGATTGGGTGGTCCACGATTCCAACGCCAACCGCTCTTAGAGGCAACACACGTGCTAACCGCACAAGACGATGGCTCAAAAATTTCAGATCGGTTTCGATTTCTGAAATCTGTTTCGGCTATTTTTTGACTCCGCTTTACGTCCGACGGGAGCCTGCTGTGCCAGTTTCGAGTTGCGAGCCAGCACACAAGAACAAGAAGAACAAGGCAACATCACTTTCGTAAGTAGTGACAGCGAGCGGATCAAAAAGCGTGTCTATCATTTGTCTCCTTGTCCTTCTTCGTGCAAACGATGACATCCACACCACCAATCTTCGTCACCGCGAAGATGATGATGGCTCCTCTTCTCTTCTTTGCTCTCTGTTCCTTCTTCATCTCTTTTTCTTTCCATGTGCCAGCCGCCTCTGCCGAAATGCACGGTAACCCGCCCCACCAAACCTACTCTATTTTAATTTATTTATATTTATTTATATTTATTTATTTTTATTTAATCGTTCGTCCATTCAGTGATGGACCGACGAAGCGACAACTCGTCGATGTGGGCCATCAAGTTGCCCAGCGAGCTCTCGGGTGACGAAGCCCAGGAGAAGCTCGCTCAGATCGCCGCCGAGCACGGCGTACCCCCCCCCAAACCACCTTCGTTCTTTTCTGCGAGTCGCTTTCGTTCTTTGATCGCCTGGTTGCTGTGTCGGCAGTGGTTGCTAACGCGCCTGGGCTGTGTCGACAGTGTCGTGTGTTGGGGCGGGTGGCCAACCTGAAGGACTACTTCCTGATCGAGCACGACCCCAACCACTCGCGCAAGCGCAGTGTGCCAGACGTATATCTTTCTGTCTTTTCTTCTTCTTTCTTTTCGTCATTCGCTCATCTCCTCCCCCGGGCCTCTCTTTCAGATCGAGGGATCGCTGCAAGACCATCCCGACGTAGAGTGGGCCGGGTTTCAGCATGCGCGCTTCCAGCAGAAGCGGCTTCCCGCCATCACCGGTTCATTGCACACACGACACACAGACACAGACATACACACAGACATACACACACACGACACACGACACACGACACACACGACACACGACACACACGACACACACGACAATACAAACTCGCAACGCTAACTCGGTGTTATACCATCGATGTCACGCGTTTTCAGATCCGCTGTATGCCAGCCAGTGGCACCTCCACAACTCTGCCGGCGTGGACCTCAGCGTGGTGCCCGCTTGGGAGGCCGGCTACTCCGGCCGCGGTGTCGGTACGCACAAGCGGCCCCGGAGCCAAAAGGTGGCGGCGGCGGCGGTGGTGAGATCTCGCACAGTGACACTGACGCGCAACGCTCCGGGTCACGGTCTGGCAGGTGTCTCAATCGTGGACGACGGTCTCGAGTGGCGTCATGGCGATCTGGGCGAAGCGCGCTACATGCGCGCTGCTTCTCATGACTGGAACGGAAAGGACGACGACCCGTCGCCCGCCAGTTACGATGACACCCACGGCACCTGTACGCGCTCCATTTGTTTTATTCTTTTTGACTTTAATTTTTAATTTAGGATTATTATTATTATTATTATTATGTCTCACAATTATGATCTGGGTCCCTAGCGTGCGGCGGACTGGCGTTCGCGGGAATGAACGACGGTAAGTGCGGCGTCGGCATTGCCTACAAGTACGTGCGATCCTATGTTTCCCCCTCCCCTCCTTGCCAGCCGACTGATTGAACGTTCATCGCGCGGCTGATCAGTGCCAAGCTGGGCGCCCAGCGTCTCATTTCTGGTCCCACGACCGACGCCATGGTGCGTCACCTCCAATCCGTGCGTGCTCGACCCGGTTGGCTGATCGACGTGTGTGCGGTGGCGCCGTGTGCGTGCTCTTTAGGAAGCGGGGGCTCTGTCTTACCACACCGACGAGAACTTCGTCTTCTCTGCCTCCTGGGGTAACGCCTGGCTTCCGATCACACGACACACACGACACGACGCCTGTGCTAATGCGAAGCTGGTGGTGAAATAGGTCCGACCGATGACGGTCTGCGGAAGGAGGGACCGGGGACCCTGCTGCTGGCCGCCATGACCGAGGCCATCACCAACGGCCGGAACGGCAAGGGCACCATCTACGTGTGGGCCGGCGGCAACGGAGGCGCCCGGGACAACGTCAACTACGACGGCGTACATGCACCCAACTTTATTTATTATTTATATATATTATATTTTACATTTAGTTTTAGAACAATTTTATTCCTTATCTTGATCTGTTTATTTTAATTTTTATTTTATTTTTATTTTTTACACAGTACGCCAACAGCATCTACACGGTCACGATCGCGTCGGTGGACAGCAATGGCCGGCACGCCTCGTACAGCGAGGAGGTACGCGTCAACCAACATGCCATGCACTTATGAATGAATTGGCATTCCTCACATTCTGTCCTCATCATGCCCACAACAGGGTGCGTGCATCATCGCGAGCTCGCCCTCGTCTCCGCCCGGCATCAGCACCACCGCCGTGCGCGGCAACTGCAAGTACGCTCCTATTTATTTTTTATTGAACTTATCTTTTGTATTTATAAACTTGATATTTCTTTTTGATGATTTATGTTTCATTTTTCTAATTTTTTGTGCGTCGGCATAGTACCCGCTTCGGTGGCACGTCGGCTGCGGCGCCCATGATCTCCGGCGTGGTGGCGCTTATGCTCGAGGCCAACCCCAACTTGGGCTGGCGGGTACGTCGCCTCCTCTCAAATGCATCTTTGCACACGAGCACGCACGCACACACACAACACACCAACACACACACAACACAACACACACAACACACACACACACACGTGCGCGCTCAACTTCCAACGCCCCACAGGATGTGCAAGACATTTTGATCCGCACGGCACGAAAGAACGACGCCACTGACCCGGGCTGGGTCAATAACGGCGCCGGGCTGCACGTCAACCACAAGGTTCGATTTCTACGTCGCAGTCATGGCCGCGAATGCCGCTTCTGACGTTCGCATGACACGACACGACACGACACGACCAACGACACGACACGACCAATGGCACGACCAACGACACGACACGACCAACGACACGACACGACACAGTATGGTTTTGGTCTGGTGAGCGCCAGCGCGGCTGTGGTAAGGGCCGCGGATCGATCGCGCGCCCTGCTTCCCCCGAACGTCGCGCCCTTCGTGAGCACCAACCAGGCCCTCCCCGCTCTCGTACGCGCCCACCTCATCAGCAAAGAGCCGGGAATAAATTTATTTATTTTTTTATTTATTTATATTATTTATTGTTTGCAGGACATTCCGGACAACAGCCCGACTGGTGTCACGGTCACCTTCACCGTGGATCGTGCCTTCTCCGTGGAGGTTCGTCACCACCCACCGTGTGTTGTGTGTGTGTGTGGTCTGACCCATTTTGCCGTACCAGCACGTTGAGCTGAACCTGCGAGCCGCACACACTCGCCGAGGAGGTATACACAACACACACACACACACACACACACACACACACACACACACACACACACACACACACAACACACACACACACACAACGCAAGCGACGCGTGATGCGTTCATCGATCTCATCGCGTTCTGTTTGTCTGTGGCGAGCAGACCTTCGGGTGGTGCTGGTCTCGCCGGTGGGTACGCGGAGCGTGTTGGCGGTGCCGCACGGTGACACCCACGCGCACTACACCGGGTGGACCTTCACCTCCGTGCGCCACTGGGGCGAGAACCCCATGGGCGTGTGGAAGCTCATCCTCTCCGACGAAACCGCGAACAACGTCGGTGCGTTTCTCTCCTTCCCCCAACGACACACCGCACCGCACCGCACGCACCGCACGACACGCACGCGTGGCTGACATGCCAAAAAAAAATAACGTCTGCAGGTCAGTTCAATCGAGCCATCCTCACCGTGCGCGGACATTGAAGGCCCAGAACTGGGACTCAACCAGAGTGAAGTACAATACACCTCATCATTCGCTGCGACTGGAACACACGCAACACACACACACACACACACGCAGACAGCACACACACGCAGAGGAGAAAAAGAAGATGGAGAAGAGACGTGATAGTGTCGAGAGGAGTGAAGAAGCAAAAAGGAGGATACGGGCACGGTGGATTCCCGGGTGGTCGCCCACCCCAGTACTAGCACCGCCTGGCGCAGCTTAACTTCGCTGTTCGGATGGGAAGCGGTGCTTTCTGCGCAGTATGGCCGTATCCAACACCCTTCACACTCATCAACTCCATTTCCTGGATCCTGCATTCCTCCAAGCACTTAGAGGTGCTTTGTTCACCAAAGAGTGTCCACTCTGTATTCTGACAGCATTCTGAAGGATGCCACAATATGGGCGGTGCCGCACCAGACCAAGGAAGAAAAGAGGTGGAGAGCATCAGCGATGAGTGGGGTTGGTGCTGCTGTTGATGGGTTTCATTGAACTGAAACAAAACACAAAAAGCCACAAAAAAAATCAGAAAATGGTCGAAAATCAAAAAAATCAGCCCTATTGTTTCTGCACGAAAGCTGGACGGCTGTTTTTTGTCGACATCTCTCCACTTCTTTTCATGGAAAGATAGAGCGACGTTGGCGCCTCGACGTCGGCGAGGCCTCTCACAACAAAAAGGGACTGAAACATTCATCACAGCCACAACATCCACAACTTACCAGCATACAAGCAAGCATCGCCATGGGCAACATTCTTCTGCGACTCTTTTCCGGATTCACGCGAGAGGCCAAGATCCTCCTGGTGGGCCTCGACGGCGCCGGCAAGACCACCCTCCTCTACAAGCTCAAGCTGGGCGAGAACGTCGTCTCCGTCCCCACCATCGGGTTCAACGTCGAGACCGTCTCCTACAAAAATGTACACTTCACCCTGTGGGACGTGGGCGGCCAGGACCGCATTCGGCCGCTGTGGCGCCACTACTTCCAGGGCACCGACGCCGTCATCTTCGTCGTGGACAGCGCCGACCAGGACCGGCTCGACGAGGCCCAGGAGGAGCTCGCCGCCATGCTGCGATCCGACGAGCTCCGCGACGCCGCGCTGCTCGTGTTCGCCAACAAGCAGGACTACTCGCACGCGCTCTCGGTGGAGAAGGTGATGACCCGGCTGGGCCTGGACGACGAGCTGCGACGCGGGCGCCGGGTGTGCTGCCAGGCCTCGTCGGCCACCGACGGGTTCGGGGTCTACGAGGGCATGGAGTGGCTCGCCCAGTCGCTCAAGAACACCAACTAAACAAACAAACAAATTCTTAGGATATCCAAACTTTTGTAAATACAGCCAACCAGAAACTCGTTACTGATCAGTGCTTGTCCGGCTTGCCGGCTGTTGATTGGTGGAGTTGGGTGATACGGCAGGCCAATGGTCAGTGAGCGAGCGGTGGTGAGTGGGAAGGGACTGGGTGGGTGGTGGGTGGTGGGTGTAGGTACCAAACACGCGCATGCGGGTGCGGCCGACCTTGATGAGGTCGCCATCCCTCAGCACCCTCCGGCCGTTGCACATGTGGTGATTCACCTTGCTGCCTCGCTTGCTGCCCAAGTCCACAAACACCAACCTGGTGGTGGGCGTGTGCGTGCGTGTGCGTGCGTGAGGACCGGTGATGATGACGATGACGGTGACGATGACACAAGCAAGGTCAACGCACCGATCGTTGGATGTGTCGATCCGGGCGTGCTCGCGTGAAAGGCGCGAGTCGTCGATCATGAGGTCGTTCGTGGACGAGCGTCCGATCTTCACCGAGTCCTTCTTGATTTTGTACACCTGGCCATTCATGCATGCACCAAGTCAACATCTTCGGTGTTACTCGCGCTGCGCCGACCCAGCGTCATCAATGATCGGCGGCGGGCAGCGGCAGCGGTGGAAAGGAAAAGCTGCGCAGTACCTTTTCCTTGCGGGCGTCGGGGAGCATGTAGGTGAGGAAGGCGCCCTCGAAGCGCGGGTTGATGCCTGAAACGGAGAATCGGGAGCGAGTCAGGTAACTCAATGGGATATGGAAAAAAAAGATCAAACAATTAAAACAAACCAAACCAAAATATAAAATAAACGATGAATAAAATTAAGAAAAATAAATTATAGCGTGGCGTATTACCTGCGCCTTCGGGCACGTCCTCCGCCTGCGAGGACAGGAGCGACAGTTTCGTGTCTCCCTCCCCACTCAGCGGATCTGTGCGACACACGACACGACCAACCACGACACGACACGAACGTGTGAGTAACGAGGTCTGGACCCGAAGTGATTGATGAGCGCGAACGTACCACCCTTCTTGCCGGATTTCCGCTTGCCCTGCTTGGCCTTCTCGATCGCCGTGATCCACTCCTCCGCAGCGACCTGCGAACCAACGCGAGGCGCGCGGCGTTAGACTCCACGCAGATCGGGAGACGACGTGGCATACGCCGCACCTTGTGGGGCGCCTTGATGGTGTAGGTGATGAGGGGCGTGGTGATCTGGAACACGTAGGAGCCGTCGGCCTGGGTCTCGCCGTCCTCCTCCGTGCTCGAGTACTGCAGCACTATGACTCGCTTCGCCGTGTGCTATACATCGCAGGAAGTGGGTTAGAAATCCATCAAGTGATGATGATGGCGGTGATGATGATGTGGAGGGAGCCTACCCCCTTGTTGTGCGGGTAGTAGTAGAGGTGGCGGCCCTTCAAGATGAAACGGAACCTCTTCCACGTGCCGGGCGACTTCTGGCTCTCCAACTCGAGCGAGCCCGCCTGCATCCAATAAAAAATAAGAAAATAAGAAATATTAAAGGTATTGTGTTGTGTGCATACCTTGTCCCTCTTTTGGTGGCTGAATTTGTCGTCGAAGAAGCCGTTGGCCTCCAGCGCCTTGACCATGTTGGCCGCCTTCTCGAGCCACACGGAGTACTGCAGTCTGATCAGCGGCTCCAAGCGCTACACGTACCACCCACCACACCACACGTGAGCAATTGCTGTTTGTTTATGTCGGACCCGAAGGAGAATAGAAAACTCTCACGTACGTTGGCCGCGTCGATTTTGAACGCATACTGGTCATTCTCGATCGCTTCCTTGAGATAGGCATGCCACACGTCGAACCACTAGTACACAGAGAGAGAGAGAGAGAGGTCGTCAATAACGCTCTGTGCACCAGCATTGCGCTGATGTGGAGAGTGAGGCGCACCTCGTCGAGGTTTTCGTCCGAGTCTGCTGCAACGCTGAAGATGCGGTTGGGCGACGCCAGGCGAACGAAGTGCTTGCTCTGCGGGATGGCCTGCTTTTCCATCGCCAGCGCGATCGTTTCCTGTGCCGTTGGCAACACGGCCGCACTCAGTGGTTAGTGCCTTGCCGGCGGCGGCGGCGTTGAAGGAGTGGATTACCTTTTCTCTGGTGGAGAAGGCCTCCTTGTGGGCAAAGGTCATGTTGATCCGACCCATCGCCCTCGGGTCGTCCTTGGGCTTGCTGAACTTGATGAGCGGCTTCTTGTAGCTCTGTGCAGCGTCATGGAGCATGGCATGAGATGGAGCACCATCACATAAGAGATCATATGAGAGTATGGCGACACAGGAGCGCACCGCGGCCTGGTTCTTGTCTTTGTAGTAGTAGAGCGCGTAGCCGCCCAGCAGGAGGCCTTCGCCATTGCAACGCTTCCACACGCACCACCGCCTCTTCCACTGGCTCACGAGCTTGGTCTGGATGAACAGATAGCCCTACAAGTACACAAACATATAAATATAAATATATTTACAATTATATCTTTTTTATGTAGTGTAGAATGATATATTAAAATACATCTGGTGTGGATGGGGCGTACCTCCTTCTCCTCCGAGTCCACGGAGGAGGCGGTGAGGGGCAGGGCCTCTTTGAGGACCTTGTTGAGGGAGTAGATCTCGGCAGACACGGTCCTGGCCGATTGTTCGCCAGAGCTGGACAAATCGTCCCCGTCCCCGAGCACCAGGTAATCATCTGACCCGTTGTAGTGGTGCTGCTTCCCGCTCTTCCCTCCTCCACGCAAAGCTGGATTCTCCAAGCTAAAGGCGTCTTCGCCATTCAACTCGCCATCGCTCTCCGATCTCTTCATCGGTGTAGGTTTTTTTCTGATCTAATTCTAATACAATTCTATTTTCCTGATGACCTCGCCCCTCTCTCTTTCGTTCGAGCCACGATCAACAGAGAACAAGAAGGCCAAGCTCCCCGCAAGCCTCGTTTTGTTTTTAGATAAATAATTAATAGTCGAAAATAAACAATATCACCGCGCTGCACGCTTCCCAACTCGGTGTTGCAGGTCAGGACCTGGCAAGGGCCGCCAGGAGCATCTCGACCGAACTGCCACACGACTTGCAGCGGTAGGTGGAAGGGTCGAGCGACGGCGAGTGGCGGCCCACGACGGTCTTGCACCGCGGGTTGGTGCACTGATAGCGATAGCGGCACTCGGTCACCGTGTCGTAGGCGTGGCAGGTGCCCACCTCCAGCCCCGGGTAGGCCTTCGTCGCCAACTTGCCCCTTGTGTCGTGTTGTGTGGGAGATGAGATGAGCACCGAGATCGGCGTGTTGGTGATGATGACGAGATGGGGACACCGTGGTGTGGCGGTGAGTACCAGTATCGGAATGTGGCGCCGTGGCCCATGGTGCTGTCCTCGAGCACGAGCCACTGGCCCGCGTGACACAGCTCGTGAATGAGCGTCTCGAACAGGCGTTGAAAGTTTGTACACACTGCCGCCAAGACTATCGGTCAGTCGCGCGTCCACCTCCTTAGGTACGGGAAGGACGCGTACCTTTGGTGGCGAGCTCCACACTGGCGGAGCGTACACCCAGTTTGCGCTGAACAACCACAACAACCAACAAAAGAGATGAGCAACGAGCTGGTGCTCGTCAACAAAGTGGAACCAAGAGATGCGTACCACGCACTTGCACAGGCCAGCAGTGGTGAGCAGACGCGAATTCCTGTGCGGCCCATCGTGTGAGCGGAGAAGTCAACTGCGCTTGTCGAGCGCTCACAACAAAGGAAGTGGGTGGAGCTCGCCGTACCAGGAGATGGGGAGGTCACTTGGCAGCTGGTCGGCAAACACTCTCTTGTTGAACTCGCGGAAGAGATCGCGGGTCAGCGCTTCCCTTCTCTGCTTGAACTCGCGCGGAGTGAACACGTTCCTCTCGATGATGGCGTCGAGCCTGCGGTCCGACCCGATGATGCCCTCTTCCTTCGTTTCGCGTTCCCTCCGCTGCGCAGGGGTCGAGGTTTGCGCGGCCCTGGTGATCGGCTGTCGAGCTCCGCGAGGCGTCGCTTGGTGCGTGGTGCGTGGCGTCGTGGGCGTGGCCTGTGTTCGGGTGGGAGTCTTCAACACCTCAACCTCCTTCGTCTTCTTGAGGTGAGGCATCCGTTCGATCTCCTTCCTTTTCGTCTGCGCCACCTCGACGACGTCGTTGTAGTATTGGGTGCTTTCTTCGGCTTCATCGTCACTGCTTAGCACGATGACGATCGTCTCCTTCTCTTTCTCCTTCTCCTTCCTCGTTGCTTTGGTGTTGGCGTCGATCTCGCAAACTTCGCTGACCACCTCAATATCGCTGTCTCCACACTCCACGACCTCCTGCTCATCTTCATCGTCTTCGTCAGTGTCATCGTCGCTGTCATCGTATTCCTCCACATCATCGTTGATGAAGCTGTCATCAAGATCGTATTCATCGTCGCCGCTGTCCTCGCCTTCCCTACGGCTGCCCTTGTCTTCCTCTTCGGCCTCGCGGATCACGAACATGCTGATCCTGAAGTTCCGCCTCTTGCCACTGTCGGCCTTTCGCTTCGCTTCGTCGTGTCGCTTTTCGCTTTCGCTCTTCCCCAGCGGCACTTCGTTCTTTCGAGTTCCGCTCGTCATAGTGACCGTCGTCGCTTTCCTCGCAGGCGCGGCGCTCACTTGGGCTCTTCTGGGTGGTCGAGCCACTTCCTCTTCTTCGGATGGAGAACTGTCGTCTTCGTCATCGCCAAAGAGCGAATCGAGCAGCTCTCGTTCGCGCTCCTTCCTCACGATCACGCTGGGCCGTGGCCTGCGAGACAGTTCCGTGTTTGGGTTGCGCCTCGGCGTGGCCACCCCTTCCCCCTTTCGTTCTTTTACGCCGTGCGCGGTCGGTCGCTCCTCGCTTCGTTCATTCTCGGCGCGATGCGACCGGGCACGGTTTGGGCTTTGCTGTCGCTCGCTCGACTTGGCTACCGCTTGTTCCTGCTTTCTTCGCGCCAGCTCTTCCTTTTTCCTCGCCAGCTCCTCCTTCTTCTCCGCCAGCAACCCTGCCTTCTGCTGCAAGGCCCGCGCGCTCCGGTTGGCCAACTCTGCTCGGTTTTCTTTGTCTTCGTGTCGCCCCTTCCCCTTGTTGGGCGCGCTGATGCTCAGCGACCCAAATACATCCACCAACACGTCGTCATCCATCTTTCTCCGCTCTATTGGGGGGGGGGACAGTCAAGCGGTGCCGAAGTAAAACAACCACGTCAACAGGCATAAGCAAGAGCGTACCAGCGTCTCCGCTTGTGTATATTTAGCACGTCTGGCTCTTGCGTTGTAGATCGGCTCGCCAGCGTATCGGTCCTTCACGAGCGTTTGCCGTTCCCGCCAAAATCAGTAAGAGGAAAAGAAAAGAGAAATTCTATTTTCATCAAAACTGTTTTGGTGCGTAGATGAAGATGAAGCAGAGGGTGGGCAGCACTGCGTCGGCCCTGCGGCACTCGTACACGCTTTCGTCGTGGTTCATGCTGCCCGACCAGGGCATGACCTCGTTCGAGGTGCTCTCGCGGGCCTCGGCATTCCTCACGCCGTGGCGCAGCAGGCCGGAGCCGCGGGAGGAGCCTCCGCCGCACTCCGACTGCCCAAGTACCACGTCATCGGTTCGGCACACGTCACCCACCCTTTCTTCTTCCCCAACTACTATCCCGAGCACCAGTACCCCTGGCTCCAGTATGTGAGTGAAGAAGACACACTCAACAAACTCGAACTGCGCTCGGTACGATTTATTTTTAATATTTATTTTATTTATTTGTACCTGAATGACATAAAATATAAAATAGGGATCGGGAGAGGTGCTCCACGAGTTCCTGTTGGCACGACACAACTACCGGCATGACAAGCAGGACCTCATCGTGCTACACCTGCACGATGAGGATGCGTTCGAGACGGTGCTCGAGCAAGCGGGCACGCCGGCGGCCCCTCTGGCGATGCACGGAAACGGTGCTCTAGTGGCTGGCGACGTACCCTTCCCCTCTCTCTCTCTCTCTCTTTGTGTGTGCGTGCGCGCGCGTGGTGTGTTCGGTACCTGCGTCGAGACGCACGTGTGTGCTGCGGTATTGGTTGTGAATGAATGCTGTGGTGATGCGTTAGCGCGGGTTGCATGTGATGATACCAGCACGAGGGAGCTCACGGATCTTCTTAATGCATGTAGAGAGTGGTCTTTGCCGGTAATCTAGTGCAGAACTGTGGGAAGGAGGGCGAGGAGGTGCAGATCCCGCACAGCGCTGAGGGGACGGTGCACGTGGCGACCTCCACCAAGATGTTTGTGCGAACGGAGAAGCAGCTGCCGATGGGCATGTGCGGCGGGCCGGTGATCGACAGCCGAGGCTACTGCGTCGGCATGACCGAGGGCGTGGTCAACGCGCCAAGGGACGTCGAGGGCCAGGCGCCATCAAGCGACGAATTCACGATGCTCTCGACCCTCACGGGCAACGCTGCGTGCATCACCTCGTCCGAGCTGGCACGATTCATGGACGAAGTTGAGCGTGTGCATGAGCTCTATGATCCGCGCCCACGACACAGGCGTCGATAAACTTACTCTTGACGTTGTCGAACGGTCTTCGACCAAACTCGATGGTTTTCTTGAGTGGGATTGCCTTCGTCGTCACTCGTGCCTGGGTCGCGTCCAAATCTCCGCTGGGTGTTGTTCTCCCACTTCTTGCTTGTGCAAATTTCGCGGCAAAAAGGAAGCAAGCAGGAAACCAGACCTTTTGCATGCGAAAAGTCAGCGACATCTCGTCGCGAATGTGTCGCTTCTCTCATTTTTCCAGAAGGAGCCTGGCGGGCGAGTGGGACTGACGGCCGGGGCGGGGATAAGAAGCGCGAGCGAGCGGCGGCGTCCAGTTCTTCAGTATCACCCTACTCCACTCCAATCTACACACAGCAAGATGTCCAAGGAAGTCTGCGTCGGTATCGATCTGGGCACGACCTACTCGTGCGTGGGCGTGTGGCAGAACGATCGCGTCGAGATCATCGCCAACGATCAGGGTAACCGCGTGACCCCGTCGTACGTGGCCTTCACCGACAGCGAGCGTCTCATCGGAGATGCCGCCAAGAACCAGGTCGCCATGAACCCGCACAACACCGTGTTCGATGCCAAGCGTCTGATCGGCCGTAACTTCTCGGACCCCATCGTGCAAGCCGACATGAAGCACTGGCCGTTCAAGGTCGTCCAGAAGCCCGGCGACAAGCCCTTCATCTCCGTCGAGTACAAGGGCGAGACCAAGGAGTTCTCCCCCGAGGAGGTCTCGTCGATGGTCCTCATCAAGATGAAGGAGACCGCTGAGGCCTACCTCGGCCACCCCATCAACTCGGCCGTCATCACCGTGCCCGCCTACTTCAACGACTCGCAGCGTCAGGCCACCAAGGATGCCGGTACCATCTCCGGCATGCAGGTCAAGCGTATCATCAACGAGCCCACCGCCGCTGCCATCGCGTACGGTCTCGACAAGAAGTCGCAGGGCGAGATGAACGTCCTCATCTTCGATCTCGGCGGCGGTACCTTCGACGTGTCGCTCCTGACCATCGAGGAGGGCATCTTCGAGGTCAAGGCCACCGCTGGTGACACTCACCTCGGCGGTGAGGACTTCGACAACCGCATGGTCACCCACTTCATCCAGGAGTTCAAGCGCAAGCACAGCAAGGACATCTCCGGCAACGCCCGCGCCGTCCGTCGTCTCCGTACCGCCTGCGAGAGGGCCAAGCGCGCTCTGTCGTCGGCCACCCAGACCAACATTGAGATCGACTCGCTCTTCGAGGGTGTCGACTTCTACACCTCCATCACCCGTGCCCGTTTCGAGGAGCTCTGCGCTGATCTCTTCCGTTCGACCATGGACCCCGTCGAGAAGGTGCTCCGCGACGCCAAGATGGACAAGCGCACCGTGAGCGAGGTCGTGCTCGTCGGTGGCTCCACCCGTATCCCCAAGATCCAGCAGCTCGTCACCCAGTTCTTCAACGGCAAGGAGCCCTGCAAGTCGATCAACCCCGACGAGGCCGTCGCCTACGGTGCCGCCGTCCAGGCCGCCATCCTCAGCGGTGCCTCGACCGAGGGCTCCGTCCTCGGTGACGTGCTCCTCATCGACGTCACCCCGCTCACCCTCGGCATTGAGACCGCCGGTGGCGTCATGACCGCGCTCATCCCCCGCAACACCACCATCCCCACCAAGAAGACCCAGGTCTTCTCCACCTACTCGGACAACCAGCCCGGCGTGCTCATCCAGGTCTACGAGGGCGAGCGTGCCATGACCCGCGACAACAACCTCCTCGGCAAGTTCGAGCTCTCGGGCATCCCCCCCGCGCCCCGCGGTGTGCCCCAGATCGAGGTCACCTTCGACATTGACGCCAACGGTATCCTCAACGTCAACGCCGCCGACAAGACCACCGGTCGCTCCGAGAAGATCACCATCACCAACGACAAGGGCCGTCTCTCCAAGGAGGAGATCGAGCGCATGGTCAAGGAGGCCGAGAAGTACAAGAACGACGACGAGAACGCCAAGGAGAAGGTCGAGGCCAAGAACGCCCTCGAGAACTACGCCTACACCATGCGCAACACCATCCGCGACGACAAGATCGCCTCCAAGCTCGACTCGGGCGACAAGTCCAAGATCGAGGAGGCCGTCGACGCCGCCATCAAGTGGCTCGACACCAACCAGACTGCCGAGAAGGACGAGTTCGAGCACAAGCGCAAGGAGCTCGAGGACCTCTGCAACCCCATCTTCACCAAGATGTACCAGGGTGCCGGCGGCGCCGGCGGCATGCCCGACATGGGCGGCATGGGCGGCGGCTTCCCCGGCGGTGCTGGCGGTTTCCCCGGCGGCGCGGCTCCCGGCGGTGGTGCCCGTCCCTCTGGCGGTTCGTCGGCCGGCCCCAAGATCGAGGAGGTCGACTAAGCTCTGACCTGCTGAGTGTCCCCCTTTCTTCTCTTCCACGCTATCCCCCAAACAAACAACAAACAATAAACCAAAAACTAATTTATTATCAAATACTCTTTGCCCAAACGACGCACGAAGTGTTTGTCCAAATGCAAAAGAGTTTGCCAAATGTCGTTTGAGTTACCAAAACGTTTGGCAAAAGCACGCGAAAAGAGATGTTTAGAGATTGATTTTGTTATCACGCGAGATGGAGCAAGCGGGCAGGGCGGTGAGGAGACTGCAGGTGACTGCGGCGCACCTGGAGTCCGAGCCAAGACGGACAGAAGAGGGGTGGGTGGAAGGTCCTGTGACAACCACGCCAACACACTCGGCAGGGGCGCGATCGAGCCGCGGATTTCTTGATGTGCAGAAGGTGCTCACCCTTGAGCTCGAGTGCAAGCAGCTGCTCTTCCCCGACGTGCCGCGCTTCCGCAAGGACCTCAACGCGTGGGTCAAGCGGCACAAGCAAATCTTATACCACGATTTTGCACAAGATAGAACTGACTCTCGATGGCAAGGTACTGCCTGTCGATGTAGTTTTTTATTATCACTTATTTGTTGTGCACTGGTGCACTAGTATTTATCCCATATATACATATATATACTAATAGTGCATTTATTATATTATTTGTTGTACCTTCAGACACGAACAAACGAAGGTTGCGGCTTGTGTTGGAGAGTGGTCCCATCGCAGTGGGCGATCTGCACTCCGACCCCGCCAAGTGCTTCGCTCTCTTCGAGGCCCCGCTGTCGAACGACCTCGGCCTCGCAGTACAGGCGCTCACCCACTACGGCCTCTTCGCCAACGCCATCATCAACCTGGGCTCCGAGTGGCACCGCGAGCACCTCCTCCCGCTCGTGGCCTCGCACATTGGCTGCGTGGCATTCCACGAGGTCGGCAACGGTAGGCTCCTGCACCACAACTTGTACACACTATGTTGGCCGTGCGTTGTGTGCGTGCGTTGCCAACACTGCTTTGTCTCCTCTGGTCTCCACAGCGTCATCGGGTCTTGTGGAAACGACGGCTCGATTCGATGCCGGAGCTGACCGATTCATTGTAGACACACCGACCCCCGCCGCGCGCAAGTGGCTCGTTTCCAACCTCCCACGGAGCGCCGCCTGGGCCATCGTGTGGGCCAACCTCCTCGTCGAGGACCACAACGTGCGGTTATTACTAATTCCCGGCTTGGTATGACCACCGCGCTGTGGTGCCTAACTGTGTCGCGTGATCGTGTCTGCAGTACGGTGTGCATCCGTTCGTGGTGCGCTTGCGCAAGGACAACGACGAGCCGGAGGCTGGAGTGCGAATCACGGACTGCGGGGCCAAGGGAGGGCTGAGCGGGCTCGATGTGGGCGGCGTTGCCTTCGAGGGCGTTCAGATCCCGCGAGCACACCTTCTCGACCGATTTGGCACGCTCTCGGCAGAAGGTACGCACCACTTAAATAATTAAAATATTAAATAATAAATTTCAATATAAATTCATAAATATAAATTTCAATATTTATTAATAAATATTTACGTCTCACCATGCGCTCTTGCTCTTTCGTCGCTAAACATGTCCAGGCGAGTATTCGAGTGCGATCCGAAACCCGTCCGTGCGCGTGAAGGTGATGCTTCGCCATCTGATCTTCGCCCGCATCGCGTCCGGTCTGGTCTCCCTCACTGCGGCACGCCAGGGCCTCACCATTGCCCTCAACCACGCGCTCAAGTACAAAGCCGGTCCACCACAGCACCAGGCACCTCTCACCACTGCCCATTTTCTTGCACGCGTCTGTCGCTAGCTAACCAGCGATCTCTTTTCTGCCTTTGCGTGTGCATGCTTCAGATTCCGCTGATTCGATTCCCGTTGCATCAGCGACGGTTGATCCCGCACCTGGCCAGCACGATCGCCTACACCCTCTTCTCGCAGCGCGTCAAGGGCCTCTACGCCGCGCGACAGGAGGAAAACGAAGAGACCTGGCGAGAGATCGCGCTCCTCGCCTCCGCGTTCAAGGTTCGCCTCGCCTCGCCTCGACCTGCCTCTGTGTGTGTGTTGCGTGAGCGCTCACTTTTCTTGTGGGCTGGTCGTGTTTGTTGTGTAGGTCGGCGCGTCGGCACAGGCGCGGGCGACGCTGCAGGCATGCACGGAATGCTGCGGCGGGAGTTCGCTGCTGGGTCGCAATCAGCTGGCCCACCTGCGCAACGACGTCGACTGCATGCTGCACTGGGAGGGCGACAACCTGCTCCTGCTCAAGTACGTGGGCAAGGAGCTCATCCGCAACTACGAGCGCGGCCTGCCGCAGGGCCTGATCGAGGGCGTCGTCTCCTACGCCTACACGTCGCTCAAGGAGGAGGTCGTCGAGCACGTCAACATGCTCAAGAAGGCCCTCTCCTTCATCAGCTTCAACTTCTACAACAACCTGCGCACCCGGAGCTGGCATCTGCGCGGCTTCCTCCTGCGCGAGCACAAGCTGCTCGAGTCGCTGTCGACCAACCTGCGCAAGGACCTCGAGCGCGACAAGGGCCGGTTCCCCACGCTCTTCGCCTGGCAGCGGCCGGCCGCGGCGTCGAGCCCCGACGCCGCCTCGGCGGACGACGAGGAATCCGAAGAAGCCACGAGCAGCAAGTTCGAGATATTAAACAAATATCTGAACGAGATCAACGTGCTTAGCAAGTGCCACATCGACCGGGTCGTGCTGCAGCACGTCTACCTGGTGCTCGACCGCGAGACCGAGCGGTCGGCCAAGCGCTCAGCCGCGGCCCAGAACTGCTCCAGCGCCAACGGCCAGTCCTGCGGTGCTGAGGCCGCCGGCCCGGTGCTGTCCAAGCGGGCGCTCAACCTGCTGGAGAAGCTGTTCAACCTGTTCGCGCTGGAGATCATCGAGCGGGACAACCACTTCTTCGTCGCGGAGGAGTTCGTCACGCCGATGCAGCTCAAGATGATCAAGTTCGAGATCGACGCGCTGTGCCAGGAGATCAGCAGCGAGGACGAGAAGGCCATGAGCGAGCTCGTCAACGCGCTCAGCATCGACCCCATCTTCTGGCGACACACCTTCACCGACTAAAGATGACGGTTAGGTTCCAATTTCCATGACCACACCGCACACGCACGACCGCACACGCGCACCGCACGCACACGCACACGCACACGGCCTATGATCAGCCCCCCCCCCCGAGCGATCCGTGGAACAGTTTCCAGCGCGTTTCCAGCGAAGCATCTGCCGAGGCCTGGCGGCTTTGTGATCACGGTGCCGACGGAAGGCGCCGCCCATGCGACTGAGCGCCAAACACAACAACACAATACAACGGTACACGGCGCAACCACAACACGACATGGGCGCCGTATGGTCACGCATTGGGGCAGGCGACTATCCCGACACCGACGAGTGGGTGCGGGGCAAGGTGTGCATCGTGACGGGCTCCAATAGCGGGCTCGGCTACTACACCGCCCTCTACCTGGCCAGGTACCCTCAGTCCACCCCATCAATCATTCATCACCATCTCACATTGATCTCTGTCTTCTCGTACACAGAATGGGAGCGCACGTCATACTGGGTACAATACAAGCTTCTTCATCTTTTTTTGTTCTTCATCTTCTTCATCTTCTTCATCTTTTCACACCGCTCGCTGTGGTGGATGAAGCGTGCCGCAATATCGAAAAGGCGGAGAAGGCCAGGCGGGAGATCATCGACGCCAGCGGCAACGACCTGGTGGAGGTCATGCAGGTACCACCCACCCCGCTCTATGCAGCTCAGTGGTATGCTGTGGGTGATGCTGATCGATGATGTGCGTGCGTGCGTGCGTGCGCGCACACCACAGGTGGACCTGGCCTCGCTCGACTCGGTGCGCAACTTTGCGCGGGAGTTTGAGAGGCGCGACCTGCCGCTCCACGTCCTCGTCAACAACGCAAGTGCGAACCACATCACCCCCCATCCCCCTCCCCTGTGTGTGTCGTGGTGCTTACGTGTGTGCGGCCGCAGGCGTGTTCATGACACCCTACGCCAACACTGTCGATGGCTTCGAGCGTCAGTTTCAGACCAACTACCTCGGTACTCGTATGCCGCACACCGTTTTCTTTCTCGGCGCATGGCGTAGCGTGCCGGGCTGACTTGTGTGTATCGCGCGCCTCAAGGCCCGTTCCTCCTGACCAACCTCCTCCTCCCGCGCATGATCGAGACCGGCAACGCGCGCATCGTCAACGTCTCCTCCCAGGCTCACCGCATCGGTAATAGCTGTTGACACCTGTGTGTGTGTTGTGTGTGTTATGTGATCTGACGATAGGAACCGCGAATTATGCGGCAGGCAAGCTGGAGTGGGACAATCTGCAGATGGACAAGGGCTATAGCCCGCTGATTTCTTACGGCCGCACGAAGCTCATGATCGCCATGGCCAGCTACGAGCTCGCACGGCGACTGGCCCAACAGGGTGCGCCAAGTTCACCGTCAACGTCGGTAAGGTCTCAACGC